GTGGACAGAGGGACGGCATTTCTCATCTCAATATGCTAGGTAAATAAACACAGAGAACAAGATGAGATTTGGGATCAAGGGGGTCCGGCATCTAATTGTACCCCCTGTCTGGGATAACAGTGGGCCTGGCCAATTTTGACACATCACACTACCAGAATGTTGACTCACAAGTTGACACACATGCTGTACATAAACATATGTGTTAAGAGACGCGTTTCACATCCGACATACGAGGAGGACCTTGTACTCGGGTGTATCCTGCATGTCTACTAAACTCAGTACCTTGGTATCTCAGGTATAAACCCAGCAAGATATGTTTTAGTAAGATTTCTCATAAGTAACACCTATAGCTAGCTTACAGATAGACTTGCAAAAGTCCCTAGTCTAAGGTAATAAGGAATAGTATAAATTATGATTTCTAAACAAAATATAAATAACAGACTGGGGTACTGTCTGCTTATCTAGGCTTGCCTCTTTAAAGGATACAACCATGGGCTTAACAATTAGTACAACCTTAGAGCAAGGCTAAACTACAGATAATCATTACAGTTTCTGGAGGACAGCAAAGAGTCACTTTTGCATTTTTCAATCTTTAAATAAATTTACATTTCATTATTAAAACACTACAAAATTACATAATGACGAGTCAGTTTTGTGTCCTGCATCATCAGAGTGAGTGAGTTTAGTTTCACGCCGCCTTTAGCAATAGTCCAGCAATATTACAGCAGGGGACATCAGAAATGGGCTTTACACATAGTGCCCATGTGTGGAATTGAACCCGGGGCCTTAGGTGTGATGAGCAAACACTTTATCCACTTTACTACCCCACTGCAATGCATCATTAGACACTCCTTTGACATCTTATAGGTACATGTTTAAGATACCTCCATCTTGGCATCCAGTAATATAACATTGAGAGAAATTTTGCAAAACTCGTTAACACATGACTGACATGAATATACACAGCAGAGTTAACAAAATTAGGCACATGACTGATAAGGTGTCCCATCAAAATGACTGACTGACTGACTGAGTTTAGTTTTACGCCGCTTTTAGCAATATTCCAGCAATATCACGGCGGGGGACACCAGAAATGGGCTTAACACAATGTGCCCATGTGGGGAATCGAACCCGGGCCTTCGGCGTGACGAGCCAACGCTTTAACCACTAGGCTACCCCACCGCCCCCCCATCAAAATGAGTGAGGGGGAGGGGGGAGGGAAGAAAGTACGATCCCAGCATCTCCGCTCCCTCCTTTTGTAAATCAAATATGGCCCCTGTCTTTTGCAACACAGGTAGATCAGAAATCCTGTCATACACACATGTACCCTCCCCAAAAGAGAAGAACTTATTGCACATATTCAACCAAGGTTATGACATGTGACAGGGTAAACCTAAAACCTGTTTTGTGGATTGTGAAAATAGACTTATCATCCCTTCAATTTTTTGCAGTCAAACCAGGAAGCATTTATGCATACAAAACAAAAACTGGGTACATTCTTGTAATATCTGTACCAACCATGACCCCAACAACTATAAGTTTCTAAAGAAAACTTGTTTCATTGTCTTTCAAACATGGATTAACATGATCACTATAACCAAACCATATGTGACCAAGATGATTTACAGCCAAAATCCTGGGAAGAATATTTCAAGATGGAATGCTGACAATATAAACATGGTAAACATAACATGCATAACAAATAATGCCTTGTTCTTATCACATGGAATAAAATTATCATTTTTACTGACTGTTTTCAAACAAGATTTTAAAGGAAATATACATAAAATGCTGGTTTTACCATCAATGAAGTTTGTAGTTACTGTATACAATAATGAGTTTTATCACCTCTTTCATGTGACTGATAAGAACCATTGCACTATATTTCAGTTGCACTATATATTGCACTGATATATACAAACAAACATAATATGAGAATTTTATATAAGCATACATTAATTTGAACAAAATTATATTTTGCATGAAAGCAGTGTACAAAGTATACGAAAGTCGAATTTGTTAAATAACACTGATATAAGTGTATTTTACTTTGTTCACTTAAAAGATTTCTGCATTTACGAGCGCATATTATTATATTACTCCGAATATCAAAACTAGTACTCTTAAGAAATACAGCAATACAAGCTATTTTTGTCTTCAAACAAAGTCGTGAAATAACATGTGCATTCTCGTGCAATTTCACGTTTATTTGAAAACAAAGCGACGAAGGTGAAGTGACAGTGGATAAATTTGCTTCTCCGAGTATATAAACATAGATAAGTTCACCGTCAGCGGAAAGTAACTGTGAAATCTTACCCGTTATCTTCGTGTCGCTGCGACAATCAAAACACCGCCTCCTCTGTTCGCGGAGAATGACAGCTCGAGACACTTTTACCGGTGTCTAATTATTTTGTTCCCCGTGTTTTTCGTGTCCTGTAACAGGTGCCCCCGGCAGAAGTGCATTAATGCGTGCTTTGTGAATAAAGGTGGGGGAAGGGGTAAGGACGCTCTGGAAATGATGTTCACAAGTGTATTGGGCAGTATCTATTTTATCGACATTATAGCATGATGTTATAAATAACTGTGTCTTCTTTACTCGAACAATCAAGCTGAACAGACAGAACATCACTACGTTCATCGGCAATTAAAATTGGAGCTGGGGATCTTCACTATCGACATTTTTCCTTTAGCAGACACGCGCCCAGTCGCAACTTTTCAGGCGCCACAGTTAGCTGTGTAGAATTGTTTCCTTTGGCTTGACCAGGATGCCTATTCTCGAAAGTGTCCCAGCTAAGACAGATCCTATCCTAGTCGTGGAGTTGAATCCTAGAGGGCGGCGAGGTAGAGTGAGTGAATATGGGTTTACGCCGCTTTTAGCAAATACTCCAGCAGTATCACGGCAGGGGACATCCGAAATGGGCTTCACACATTGTACAGAGGAATCGAATTCTAGTTTTACGTTCTCTCGTCACGTTACAAGACTAGAATTCGATTCCTCTGTACAATGTGTGAAGCCCATTTCGGGTGTCCCCTGCCGTGATACTGCTTGAGTATTTGCTAAAAGAAAGCGGCGTAAACCCATATTCACTCACTCATCGAATCAGAGACTAGACCGTAAGTGTGATCCTCAGTTTATTGACGTCTCGGTGGTGTTGTTGGTGGAGTTTTTGTAGAGCGAAAGGTCGAGGGTTCGATCCCTTGCTGTGTCATACCATTAAGAGATGGTACTTGTTGTTTCCCTGCCTAGTGCTACGCGTTAAGGAGATAAAATATGTATTTGGCTTCAGTATAATATGTGTGCGTAGCGTATTTATGTTAAACCTGAGACAATGTACCTCAATGGGCCGTCTACATAAACCAGCATAACACAGGGCACACATACGCTAGGGCGGATCCAGGAATTTTGAAAAGTGTGTGTGTTGTGTGTGTTCAAGGGGTTCGACCCCCTGAACCCCCATTGGCTCCGCCAACGCAAAACAAAATCTTCAATGTGGTTTTAAGTCATTTTCAAAAGGGGGGTTCGAACCCCTGAACCCTCTGGATCCGCCAATGCATACGTGCATGCAATTCACCGAATAAGGGAAATAATTCTTGAACTTGACGTTAAACCTCACTCACTCGCTCACTCCTCCCTCCCTCACTCCCTCACTCACTCACTCTCTCAGTGTTGTGCATATGTTCCTTTAGTATCGACACTAGGAAACAGTTACTTTTCTCTTGACATACACGGAAGTGTCACCGAGTTAACGACCTGCAGGATCTCTGTGAACAAAACCAGCACGGTAGCAGCAAGCGAGTGAGACTTCCTACCAGTACAAAGACACAACACATACAGACAGTCCTATTGTACTGCAACACCCATGCTACGCTCAGCTGGAGCACAGGCAAACTGTAGCGCAAATAGGGTTGCGCAACACTGACAAAAATTACCAGTCTTCCTATATGCGAGCGACGCTATGTGGAAGACTGGATCATTTTTCTCTGTTTTGCGCAACCCTATTTGCGCTACAGTTTTGCCTATGACTGGAGCCAAAGACAACCAACACCGAGGTTAAACAAGGCACCTGGAGACAGCATGACTTACAAATGCTGTCCCACAGCAGCAAATGGTTATGCAACCTTACTTCGTTGCAATGTCTCCTGCAATCTCAACGTTTCAGTGCACGGGCTAACACTTCACCCTCTAATCAGCCCCACACTGTAATGTGTATAAGCCCATTACACCGTATCCATGTTACCGGTGCATGTAATCACGGTTCGTAATCAAATGGAGATAACTGCGGCCACTAACGAGGACAGTTAATTGTCTGTCAACTGTCGGCAATATACGCTATCAAGGAGTGTCGTAACAGGTGCTCATTAACAGGCCATAAAGGCAAATATATACATGGCAGTTCCCACCTGTGATCGACACAAGGAGGTATGATCTTTTCACTGGGGTATGTAAATATTTATATGTATGGTGCATTTGTTTATGTCACTTGGAATTTGTTTTAATCTTGCGTGGAAAATCGGCGCTATCAGAAGCGCTCGTAAAATGTTTGGTATATATTTAGGTTGATTTTCAGGTTGTGCAAGACGTTTTCTGAATGTATTGCATAATTATCATATTAAATTTATGTCATATTTATTGATGTCTCTTATCGGATGTTATATTTTGTTCACGCGAGATATGTTTTTTCTGTTGGTTAAATTTGGTAAATTAGTTTATTTGAATGTTTTGTGCTCGTTCAGAACATATTTCTCTCCGGCCATCAATGATTTTCAATCAATATCACAGAAGGTGTATCTTACAAAATTTGGCAATCCATATAGAGGATCCGAGGAAACTCCATAAACGACGAATATTGTCTTCTACTACGGGAGTTTTCCTGGGAGAATGGCGAAAGTAAACATAAATAAAACAGACTCAAAGGTAAAACTGTTCTCACATCACGGCAATGGTGTACATATTTCACAGGGTCTATATCAAAGATTACACCGGTATATCGGTTTCTTCCGCGTTAACCCCGGTGACGTTTAACCACTTCCGGTAGCAACAAGAACTGTTTGGCAGCTCTGTAATCATTATCGGGGCTGTGACTACCATGGAACCCCGTCATGATTTGTCGTCTGTTGTATTTTCAGCTACGTAGAGACGACAGTGGTTAAAATGGATAACGTTGTGAAGAACTGGACATTATTGAGCCAAAGAAATTTCTGACATCTTTCCTCAGTCTTTGATTCAAAATGGCGGATCAAAAAGAGGCTCTGCATCAGATACGAAGACAACTGTCAACTGACAGCGAAGAGTTCCATGATGAAAAACTGGATCCACGGATTCAGGTGGCTGTTATTATTGAAATGCTTAACACTTTTTGCTATATAAACCCCAGAAATATTGTGGGCTAGGCTTACTTACTCTGGCAATGATGGGCCATGAATATAGATGTGATTTCATAGTCATGTGTAGTTTTATTTGTATATCTCCAAAACAAATAACAGCACCGTTCACGAATAGTTAGTTCCTAGTGAGTTAGTATGATATTATGTCACCTTCCATTTTAGATATCGCATTCACCCTGTACTAATTCTAGGGCTGCCAGTTACATGACTAACCTATGCTTGATAGAGGTGACTCAATGGATAGGGTGGCCATGCTGTGACTTCATGTGTCGGTATGGATTGTTGCTCTTGTTATCAATCACTGGTTTGTAGAGCCCAGGTATGATTGTAGCATTAAGCAGGATCATATGTAGTATTTGGACCCCCTCTTCGCTAGAAGTGACAAGTAGATTTATTTCATATTATAAGACTAAACCTGTTGAAGTCTCCAAGATGTTGGGTATTCGGTTTAACTACCGGTATAATCATGGTTAATCTTTATAGAACATAATATGTTACTCGTCATTCACAAAATGATCAATAGCTCAAGTAAATAAATTACCTTTACCATGTTGACTACTCATCTTTAGATCTTACATCAGATTATACAGACAAGACATTTTTTACAAGTTTGGTACTTTGCATGTTACATTTTGGTACGGCATGTGCCATTTTGTATTCATCTACAAGCTTCTTCCTCAGGAAAGTTTCTAAAAATGATCACTTGTATTACCTGATTTATATGTGTATGAAATCCAGTTATTCACATCATCAGTAGAGTTCTACCCTCCAGGCATTGATAGGTAAGAGTTCCTCCCGTTCCCCAAACCCAAATAATATGTATAAATACTCTAGAATTATAAACAAAACTTAACACAACAATTACAAGAGAACTCACAAAATGATTAAAAGTCCAAACTTTAAGTTGGGGCTAGGTTTAGGGTTAGGTTTGGGTTTAGGGTTAGGTTTAGAGTTTGGTTTAGAGTTGGGGGGAACGGAAGGAACTCTTTCCCATTCATTAATGCACTGAAGAATTGAACCTTTTTGATGTTTTTGTACAGCTTCTCATTCACATTTGGAACTGATAGTTATCTTGTGTGTTCATTATACATATGATATGTTTTACTCTCCTGGTTTAGTCTTACATGTCTCTAGGGTGAGTTTACATATCTAAAGAAAATTCTGCTTAAAATTCTGCCCCAGATGTGTAATAAAAGTAAACTCTCAATATTGACGTACATTAACAATATTCAAGATATGTAACCTGTGTATGTATTATTAACTGCAGCAGAGTTCGGGTATGTGTGGTTCCTAAAACATCTGTGGAGAAAGATAGGCACGCTAGTTGAAATTGATGCTTTGGGGAAAGACAAAGTGTTGGTATACATTCAGGTTTTCAAATTATTCATGCATGTTTTACGTTATCAAGCCAAAATTAATTTTGTCATTTGGATTTGTTTTGCTTATGTGGAATTCTGGATTGTATGATGTAGGTGTTCACACTGCAGCTTAGGCCTCCCATCTGGAGACATGGACAAATCTGTTTGGTCTAATAAGCCCTACTAATATTACTTAAAAGTCCACAAAATACACAATGCTCTAACATAAATAATGCATAGACCCACGTTCAGGCTAGTTCAGTTGTAGTGAACTCATTTCTGTCACAGACTGAGTGAACATTAAACTTCACAGCTGAATGACCCACAGAGAAATAGCAATCTCAAGCTTAGTCATCAATAGTAGGCTGTTGGTAACACTGGTGAGGATAAGCAAACTACACCTGACAATGCATAATCAATGGTGCATTGATGGGTAAACTATCATTAGTCATTGGATAAATGCAACATACACTTTTCTATGGCTTTGTGCTTACATTCCATTCTAGAGCTAACATACTGCTTAAGATGCTTGTGCCCTCTGTGAAATTTGACACCATCCTAATTTGAGTATCCTTGGATTTATTAGATCATGAAAACAATAAAATATAGATTTTGTGCTGAAATTCCAAGAAGTACTGTAGTTTAGTATTATTCATGTGCAAGTTTAACAAGGCTGTTAGATATGTAAAAATGGTGCTCAGAACTGGTAAGAATTTGTCTAACTTTTAGAATGATCAAATCAAAGTTATAGTCTAATATTTGTGAAATCATTGTGTACATGGTATTTATTGTTATTACCATGAATAAGAAGGCCAATAGGAATTGTGTGAACTTGGACGCATTTCTGTCACACTTTCAGATAGAGCTTGAGAAGCTGAACAAGGCAACTGAAGAGATCAACAAGTTGGAACTAGAGTTAGACGTGAGTATTCTACTTCTTGAACTGTAACAGTCATATTCTAAGCTGCCTCTACACGCTCTTCAAAGGATGCTGTTTCCTTTAATCAGTAAGGCATCCTATTTCTCCACTTCCTGTTGGATAGAGAATCTAATTATTTCCTGTTTCCATAGTAACAAATGATTTTACAGATAGGTTTGTCGGTGTTTCAGTGTAAAATTATAGAAAGAAAAGAATAAAATGGGTGTCAGAAATAAATTCAGGGATTTATCTGGGCCTTTCCAGAGGCCAATATTCAACCCATTTCTGCGACAGGTGTCTGTTAAATATCCCATATGAAAGTTAAAAATTTCCAGTTCATGTTTATTGGTTAATATACATGGCATTGCAAATGAATTCATGCGAACGGATGTGATGGCTTGGTGAAGATGACTTTATTGATAAGAGGACCAATAAAGAGGAATAGGCTTTAGTGCACATATTTTAATTATTGCGTATGCATTGACTGCATTTTTATATTAATTAATTGTTGAAAATACCTCTGAAATCTGAAACAAAGATGATTAGAATTGGTACACAGAATATACAGAAGTGCATGAGTCTCTGTAAGATGATTCATTATGACACAGCATATAACAGTAAACACATGAATTAAATAGGAAATATTAATCAGTTGCTTATCATGTGGAAATATTTAATTTATCATGTTTATGACTTGTGATGTGTTAGCTTGGGCGTCATTGTGACCCTCAGATTTTGAGCTGTTGGAGAAACTGGCCAGTCAAGTATCAAGTGGGAGTGGTCTTTAAAGTGATGTTTTCTGAAGTACTCCTTACGCCAAATAAATGTGTCATCTGAGGCAAATTTAATAGCTACCTCTGGCCTGTCTTCCTGGTAACCATAGCAACTTGGCCAACCTGTCATGTTTTAAGGGAAAATGTTAGTATTTTGTTACTAGTCAACCAAAACACAAAAACAAAATAAAGATATATACATCAGAGTTACATGTACTTTCCATATGTATCTAATCATACCTATATCTATTAGGGCATGACTGTCTATAAGTACATTTAACTTTGGCTTTACAGAAGGTAAAACCAGTTAAGTGATGCCATTTAACAGTTGTAAGACCGTAGTTGTTTTTTTTTTTACAGTTCTTCTATCTATGTCGCAACTATTTGTACTCCAGCATCTCAAATATGATTAGGCCCCCCTAAAAATATGTCCGTTACCAGTAACCCGACCGACCCTATCCTTAACCCCCGACCCTAAATCTTTTTTTAACCAAGTTAATATCATGACTGGAGTGCTTTTCAACTCATCATTTTCATCCAAATCAAGTAAGATATTTTCATGTTTTTCAGTGTACGTAGGGCTAAAATGGATTGCATTAAATTGAAATAATGGGTCCTCACTGACCAAATCTGCAAATAAATAAGATGAATAATGATTTGATGTAGAAATCTTTCAATGTTTCATCATAAGGCATTGTCACTACATGATATGGTACTCTTGAAGACCTCAGGTGCCCACCTGGTGCCACTAAGAAATAAAAAAAAAGTTTTTAAAAAAGAAGATAAAACCGACCCACCTTGAATTCCTGAGGATATTTTATGCAAATAAGTTTCTAATCTGAAGCTTTGTTGCAATGTCAGAATTTCTACTGACTTTTACCTTGGCTTAATGTTAGCCTCTGAGTACATTTTGAAATTTTGATAAATCCCATATGAAATTTTTCAAATGAAAGCCACATTTTGCAGTGAGCTGATTATTTACAGTACATGTATATGTTTGACTGTTAATGAATTCATCTTTATTTCCATATTTGTGTTGTGATTTAAGTAGTACAGTGCCTGTGTTTGACATGAAGTTGTTGAAAATACCCTGTGGCTTAGTATTCCTTAGTTATATCTTTAAACCTGTGAAGATCCGGGTTAGAATTGGTCTTCAGCAACCCATACTTGTTGTAAGAGGCGACTAACGGGATCAGGTAGTCTGGCTTGCTGACTTGGTTGACACTAAGGCTGTTACGATTCACTCGCATATTCGGTGAATCGAACCGTAGCCCTTCATGAATTCAATTCGTTATTCGTGGTCACCAGAATCGAATATTCATGAATATTTACAAAAGACTTTATGGAGTATGTTTTACTTGAACCCTTATGTCCTTTTTCAATATGAGATATGCAAGAATGCATTATGTACTAGCCTTGTAGCGCAAGTCATGTTAGTTTGCCAAGGCCACACATGGTACTGTCAACTATAACTATTACATACCAAATTTGAGTGTCATGAGATGACTGGTTATTGCTGTGACAAATTACCACTATCACCATAGGCAATCAATATTGTACATCAATCACTTAACTACAGTATTGTATTCGTGAATAATTATTCGTATTCGTTACCCAATATTCGTGATATGTATCATATTCGCAACATAGTGTATTCGTTACAGCCCTAGTTGACACATGTCATCGTGTCCCAATTGCTGTGGTTGATGCTCATGCTGTTGATCACTGGATTGTCTGATCCAGACTCGATTATTTACAGACTGCCGCTATGTAGCTGGAATATTTCTGAGAGCATCACTAAGCAACAAACCAGCCAACCAACCTTATATCTGTGCTGTATGCATTAAAGAGAAACCCTTAGTGAAAACATACTAAATATGATACAAACAATATACATTTTGAAAATAATATAATAATCATGACTGTAAATCGCAAAAAGTGAGGTATAATTTATTTGAATGTTGATCACCAGCAAAATTTTGTTAAGAGAGTTTTGAGAGTGATTGCATCCAATGATTCGTGTAGCGTGAAATGGTTGTCATTGTAAGGTACTTGAGCTGTCCATGTAGGATGTTTCATTATGGTATATATTTTGTGATCATCTGAATCTTTGACAATTATATTTGTAATTTCAAAGGTAAGAAGTTTTGTTTTCAACCATGATATGCTCCCATGCTTCTGTTATTGATATTTCAGGATGCCAGAGCTTCCTTCCGTCAAGCTTTATCTGACTCAACACAAAAACTTAACGCTCTGGCCAAAAAACTTGGAGCATGTGTGGAAAAAGCTCGACCTTACTATGATGCTCGGATTAAAGCCAAAGATGTAAGGGAAAAATTATTGATGTTATTGATGTTTGGGTGTGCTGTCATGTATACACATAATACAGTGATATTTTCTCTCTCAGGCTAAATTTCCAGCTGATAATGCTGTGATATAAGTTGAGTACTGCTTAAAGTGGCTTTATAACTAACATCACTCACACATTCTGATGACCATGCACTTTAGTCACATTCTTTATGTTCCCCTCTAACTGTGTATGATCAAGACTACCAGTTATCAGGATTTCAGTTTTGTGGAAACCATGGTGGCTGCTGGCAGAGTGAGTTAGATTGCTGTTAGATTTTGAGGGTATTAGTTGAAATCCCAGATGGAACGCAAACCCCCCAAAGTACTAGAATCCAGACTTTCCTGAGAAAGTGTAATTCCAAGTATAACATGTTGCATTCAACATTTTACTAAAAGGCATTTGGTTTTCATAGTGCATGAGTTTAATATGCTTGCAGATATCAAGCAAACGATATTCAGTGCAGGGATGGAAATAACCCATTGCCCGACGCCCCAGTCCAGTGTTTTTTTCTGTCGGGCAAGCAAATTTGTATATCACGCTGTACCGGTGTCCAGTTGACTTTCCAATGTTAATTATGTTGTTTATTTAAAAAATCAACAAGAAAATCGTCCAGTATAGTGGAAAAATTATCAGGGCAAGTGATTTTACATGTGCCACTCTAACTGTGTATGATCAAGACTACCAGTTATCAGGATTTCAGTTTTGTGGAAACCATGGTGGCTGCTGGCAGAGTGAGTTAGATTGCTGTTAGATTTTGAGGGTATTAGTTGAAATCCCAGATGGAACGCAAACCCCCCAAAGTACTAGAATCCAGACTTTCCTGAGAAAGTGTAATTCCAAGTATAACATGTTGCATTCAACATTTTACTAAAAGGCATTTGGTTTTCATAGTGCATGAGTTTAATATGCTTGCAGATATCAAGCAAACGATATTCAGTGCAGGGATGGAAATAACCCATTGCCCGACGCCCCAGTCCAGTGTTTTTTTCTGTCGGGCAAGCAAATTTGTATATCACGCTGTACCGGTGTCCAGTTGACTTTCCAATGTTAATTATGTTGTTTATTTAAAAAATGAACAAGAAAATCGGCCGGTATAGTGGAAAATTTATTAGGGCAAGTGATTTGACATGTGCCACTGTACCAGAGTACACTAGCAATTTTAAAGTTATTTCCACCCCTGCAGTGTTGATAATATATTATTTTTTATTTTGACCAAGGTAGTACTTTACTCCTTCTACCTCGCCTGTTTCTGTGAAAAAGCTGAAGCTGGTCTGTCATTTATATTGTTGTCATAGGGGAACTTATAAAGATTACTTACAGACTGGCCTAGAAGTTGATCAGGGGAGCTTACTGAAGCAAGACCCTTAATCATGTTAATAACCTAATCCTATGTGAGGTCATTGTTAAATGAGTGATGACAACAATGTCCCTAATGGCCTCTAGGACCACCTGGAGACCCAAAAGGCAGCGTTGAGGTATGAGAGAGCTTGCAGTATGCACGAAGCAGCCAAGGAGATGGTGCAACTAGCAGAACAGGGCTACATGAGACGGGAACAGCCATCGGACCCCGCCTGGCAGGAGATGCTCAACCATGCTACCATGAAGGTGATAATGCTGAAATATCAACTGAAATGATGAGATGCTGAGTTACTCTGTTATAATCAAACTGATTAAATATATGTAAAAATTAGCTCACCTAAACTTATGTAGGCTTATTAGTCTATATGATGTGGCACATTGTCCCATGTTAATATATTACTATTCTTGGGGTGTGTGTGTGTGTTTGGTTCGCATCTTTTCTAAAAGATTTGCATACATTTTCCAAGCTACAGTGTCTTTAAAAATACCAAAGAAAACCCACAGAAAACATCATAAACAAGCAAACAAAGGAATGTTGCCTGTTACAATTTTCTTGCCTGCTATGATTTTTGGCTCACCTATAGTATTGTACAGTCTCATTAACTTATTGAGCCAGTGGGGAGAAAAATGAGTTACTTCCCTTTATGTTCTACAGTTCTATCCATGTGTGGCAAGACTATAGCACTGGCTAATAGGGAACGATTTCTGCCCATTCTTAGTTTTTATCTCGGATGTTGTCAGGTGAATGAGGCAGAGAAGGAGCGTAACGAGAGTGAGCGTGAACATGAAAGGACGACCATCAACTTCAAGAACTCTGAGGAAAGGGTCCAGCTTCTGCAGAAGGAACTGAAGCGTGCGATTACCAAATCAAAGTGAGATATCTGCATCTTCTAGCCACTAGATTTTGTGTAGCTGAAAACATGCTTTCTGACATCAGCCATCCTGGATTATCCAAAATATTCGTTCTCTATTCTGACACGATGAATACCACAGATCCTTCGTGACAAAATATTTGTTCCTGAAGCAACATCACCATCTCTTATGCTTATCAGTATTATCTTCCTTATCAGAATTTGTCTCATCCATTGTGTAATCTGAGTGGATAGATACTTTACCTGGGCTTATTTCGATTTGGATGCAGAATGGAACTGTGTTGTTGGATGGATCAGGGTTATTTATCTGAACAGGATGGAGATATGTACATGAATAACAAACGATGGATGTCATCTTTCGAAATGAGTTTTTAATCCTTTTTATTAATGAGTGAATTTACCTAAAGAATGTGATCAGGGTAAACCACAAATTGTTCGTAGCACTAGATCATTCGTAAGCCTCTGATATTAAACTGTACAGTTAAGATTGTTCTTGACATTGCCAATGCTTTGTGGGTCCAGGGTGCCGTTGTACAAAACAACCTAAGCGCTAAGGCTACCTTAAGCCTATCGGAGGTATCGGAGTTACGGTCACCTTAGCGCTAAGATCGCTTTGTACAACGGCACCCAGTTCTACAAATTTTTCCTTATCCTGACTCATGCTCTTTTGCTTGTCTTCTTCTTCTTGCGAACATAGTGGAACACTTGTATCTCCTTATTTGAAGCTCCCTTCAAAATAAAATCACTAATTGGTACTCACCACGAGTTGCTTCCCTTTGTCTCCCCTGGCGGGAAAAGGTGTCGCCACCTTCTGCCCATGTGCTTCACTCTCTCCTTCTTCGCCCAGTGAGCAGGATGTGAGAGCGCCTCGTGTCTCCTTACACACCATATCCTTTGATAATCTCTTAGTTTTTACCTCTCATAGGTTACTATAGAGGTATAGCTAGTATCCTTTACTATTTGTATTGATTAATTATCATTATTTCTACTGTTTATTCCGTGTGTTTCGTGATTGTTCAGCTAGCTTTACGTTGATGAAAATCTGTATGCGATTTGTAGATTACGTTTTCTGCCTCCGATCCACATGTAATATGCCCTAGTTGTTCTCGCGCCGTTAATGCGTTTAATTCACGTTGCAGTTACTGCATTAATTTATCTCATTCTGCATTTAATAAATATCATCTTTCGTCTTAAGGCGTGCTGCAGATAGATCACGCAAACAAGGGCAAAACATGGCGAGAAGAGTCCAGATATTCCATCCAGTCAGCTGCTAGCGATCGACCCTCTCCCGTCTGGTGTTCTGCTAGAGACCCTGCGGTAGAGGAGGCGTGGGGCAGATCCGTTACCTCGAAGAAGCGACCGGGCTCCCCAGACATCCCCGTCATTGCAGACCAAGTCTAAGAGGGCCTCATCGTCGTCTCAACGCAGATTGAGGACACCCAGGGCAGCGCAGACTTCAAAGGAAAATCTACGAAGACAGCGAGAACTTTCTCAGCCGAGATCGTTCCAGCAGCAGAATTGGGTCTCTACGATGATCAGCCGATAATCATCCCGACTTACGACAGAAGAAGCGACCCGGTGTCAGCGACTGTGACTTCTGCAGAGATCACCATGCAGCCTGATGCCTCTACACCGGCGTCAGGCGTTATTGATGTGAACCCCATCGCAGAGAAGGCGCCCGACGACTTCGTCACAGATCATCCCAGAAGACATGATGCGCAGATTATGAACATCATGGAGGACCACTACAAACTGCAGAAGCAGGGTCCGAGCCAGCCAGCGAAGGCTCCAACGTGACACAACACCCCAGAGGCACCCCCGTCAGCGTAGCAGCCAAGACGATGTCACCTTCGGCGAAGGAAGTCCGGACCACCTTGACGAAGGACCTAGATGTACAGCCTTCGGCGAAGGCCTTGGAAGGCGGATAGATCATCACCATCTTCGATTTCATCTCTAGATATGGACTCGGACCATCAGACATCCACGGAGGCCTTCGCGAAGGTCATATCATCGATCCCGGACGGACGCAAATGAAGCTTCGCGAAGGCATTCCGCACAAAGGACATATGATTCAGATCCTCATCATCTAGAAGAACATCGAGGGACTATAGAAGAGCTTCGCGAAGCTATCAACGTTCACCTCACAAGTCTCCGAGAAGATCATCCCATAGACGATCTCCACTTCGTTCATCACCAGGTCGATCACCCGTCAGATCTCCACATAGAGCGGCGCACAAGTCAACTAGATCGCCACAAACCTCATCAGATATACAGACAGCTACACGCAGTCCCGAAGAGCATCAACAATTTGTTAATGATGATGGTATTGAGGATGATGGAGGAATCATATTTTCTGATGCAGAGATACGGTATTGGATGGTCAATAACCTAGATCTCACATCACCATCTAAAAGTGGCAATACAGCGCAGACGTATTTGATGAAGGAAGACGATCCAGATGCAATCACTCTACCCGATCGACCGATTCGCGGCAGTGCCACAGAATCTAGATGCAGCTTTCCAGAAAGCTACGAAAGTTCAGACACCACATCTGCCCAACTTTCATGCCAAGAAGTTCTCCACGCATAACATGGACTCCTTCTACAAAGCCCAGGACATCGATGAGAACTATAAGATCATCAGCGATGTAAAGAACAAGATTTACAAGATGGATGATCAAGTTGGCTCATATAGAAACCATGACGAGGCGTATGTTCTTTGGGTTAAATAGATCTAGGACGATCAATGAGACTCTTATTACTAGATTCCGGGATTCCACGACGGAAGATGATAGAATGATTTATTCTGCCTTACTTATGCAAAAGAAAGATCAGCAGTTTTTAACGGATCATCTTACATCTGTTTCAGCAGCACTGACCTTAGCTCGTCGTCAAGGCCTCCTCGCTTCCTGTAATTGGGGGGAGAACTTTACAGCCCCACTTTATACAGCCCCGTGGTCGACAACATCCATCTTTGACGGAGAAATCGACAAAGTCGCCAAGGAAGTCTCTAAGGATTCCAGGGAAGTGCTTATGATTAAATCGATGGACACACTAGCCAGCGTCATTCGTCAGACTTCACAAAGATACTCAGGCAGATCTAAGTTCACGGGCCTACAAAGAGCAAGAGACAGGAAGATAGCCAGCTCTAGAGGTAAAGATTCTTTTCAGTAAGCCCATATGGCAACTATAGAGGAGGATCAGGAAGAGGCAGGACACCCAGAGGTTCCCGCAACTATAGGCGGCTGAAACACAGGTTCGAACGACTGGAGTCTTCCACCCCAGCCGTTCCAGTACAGCCAGCACAAGTGGGTGGACGCTCCAACTACACTGGGAAAACTGGGGAATATTGCAAGACCCTACGTCTCCAACATTCTTCAACACGGATTTCGAATCCCACTACAGGCCAAGCCTCCGCTGACAATCAAACCCCCCAAGTTCGATTTACAAGCGCAACAACTACCAAAGATAAGAGAGGCTGTTTCATCACTCCTATCCAAACAGGCCATAGAAGTAATAGATCAAGCAAACGTCGAACCAGGTTTCTACTCCCCAGTTTTCCTAGTTCCCAAAAAAAAAAAAAAAAAAAACTCCACGGAGAAATACAGACTCATCTACAACATGAGCTTTTTCAACAAGAATTATCTACGCAAACCACCGAAGTTTCGCATGATACATTTACCTCAGTTACGCCAGATGATTCGTCCTATGGACTACATGGGCAGCATAGATCTACAGGATGCCTACCTGCACATCCTCATTCATCCCGATTCCAGGAAATACCTACGATTTACTCTAGAAGGGCTACATTACCAGTGGAAAGTAATTCCCATTCGAATATCATCAGCCCCTGGCTATTCACGAGGATAACGAAACCGATTATCATATTTCTACATCGTCAAGGGCTACACGAGTCGCGTTTTACCTCGACGACGGGATACAAGTAGATCAAGATCCACAGCGTCTCAAACTACAGTTAAAATTACATCATAAAGCTACTAACACAACTAGGTTGGTTAGTAAACTTACGCAAGTCGGACCTAGTACCATCGCCAAGACCTGCAGTTCCTAGGTATTCGATTCATCACAAATCGCAACCGTATTATGGTACCAGAAGACCGTTGGCTCAAGATACAACAGACCATTCCACCAGCTCTACTCTCTCCGTTACCACGCCGACAATGGCAGAGCCTACTAGGTCTTCTCACATCAGCCCAAGACATGACTGTCACAGGCAGATTACAGTTACGTCCCCTACAGGTCCTCATCAACGCACATCTCAACGATGTACAACCATTCAGTCTACCGAAACATCTCAGACCTCATCTACTATGGTGGACCAAGAAATCGAATGTCTGCGAAGGGATTTGTTTAGCAGAGCAGGAATACAAAACCCATCTGTATGTAGGTAGCGTCACTCCAAGTTGGGGAGCTCATCTCACCAACCACAATGCGATATCAGGATTATGGAATCAGCAAGAATGCAAACTCCATATAAACATTCTAGAAATGAAAGCTGTAATCAACGCCATTCTACATTGGAGCACATTTCTACAAAATGCGCATCTAATGATCCATACAGACAATTCGACAGTGGCGTTCTACATAAACAAGCAAGGCTCAACGAGATCGATGAACCTTTTGAACCTAAGCTTTCAACTGTTCGATTTAATACAAGATCTAAATCTACATGTCAGAGCAGTGCACATTCGGAGCCAGAAATATACTAGCAGGCGCTCTTTCTTGGCCTCATCTACCATCACCGACAGAGTGGATGATCAACAGGGAAATATTTGCACAGATAATCAAGCAATTAGGAGCCGCTAATAGACCTATTAAGCCACAGCGATTCAACAATCAACTACCGACATTCGTGTCACCAGTCCCAGACCCCCAAGCTTGGGCAACGGACTCTAAGTCTATCATGGGAAGGCCTCAATGCGCTGCAGCGTTTTCGCCGCCAGCAATAATACCTCAAGTATTACAGAAAATCAGACAAAC